ACACATTCATAATTGTTTTCAAATTAGTCGCGCATTTGCAAGTGGGCTACTTCTGACAATTTATGTATTAGTGTGAGAATGCGAAGAACAAAGTTCCCATATCGGTGATGAACCAAACTTTGCAAATCCTGATAAGAAGTTAAACAATATTTTAAATTATCAATTAGTTCTATGATTTAAGTTCGACAACAAAAAAGTATTATGATTCAACCATTTCTGGAATTATGTTCTTTGTTTTTCATTTTCTTGGCACAAAATGATTCTTTTTTTCTCTTTCTAGTCAAACACTCAATAAAACCCAAGTAAAGCAAACAAACAGTGCTCACAAATGATTACTCCTCTGACTCACTTTCTCCGTTTCTCACTCCTTTTGACTCTCGCTCTCTCTAGACTCCAAGTGCTGTTCTTAATCCCCTGTACAGACAAACTCCCCCTACATAGATACAGAGTTACCCAATATTACCACACCAAGAATTCACCTCAGTTAAAAAAGCAAAGCTGCAATACAAATTTAAGGAAATGACACTTCTTCCATTTACCTGAGGAAGTGGCACACTTAGGCCCTTGCAGGCAAATGGCTCAGCAAATACAGCAGGTACTCCTTTGTCTCCTCTCTCTTCCTCCTTGGATTTTCCCCTCTGGGCTCATAACTCACCTCCCATTTCTTTCTGTTTCTAGATTTCTCTGGTGGGTCTGATTTATTTTTCTTTCTTTCCCATAATTTCTCTGGTTTTGTGGGTCACTGGGTCTACTTTTTTCTTACCACATTGTTCATTCATGTTTAATTTTTTGTCATTACTTGTTGGAGGCTTATGAATAATTGATAAGATGATATGATTGTTGGGTAGGAGGAAGGATGGCCTCTGGGATTGCAGCCAATGCATGTGAGAGTTGGGCTGACTGCTTCAAACCATGAATTTTCTGGGTCAGTTTCTTTCAACACTTTACTCACTGGTTCTCCAACTTCCTCCACTGATTCCTCATCAGATCTGGACACAGAGGTCAGTGTAATTACTGACACTTAAGGTTTAAATTTCTCTCAGACTAGTCTTGTCTTTGATGGGTTTTGTTGGAATTTTGTAGCCATACATATGACATGTGTATATCTATATATATAATGTATATTATTTGGTTTGGACGTGATTGGTATGTACTGTTTAGTATGTGGTTAGTACATTCTCTTCTGTTTTTGTTTTTTTCAGGTTGTTTTGTTTATGCACAAATATGCTTGAATAAAGGGTGTTTTTACTTTCCTATGTTTTATGTAAATCTTCATATGATTTAATAATTAGGTATAACGGAAATGCGTTAGGATTAGGCGAGGTCAGGGATTCGATACCCTCTATTGTAACCGAGAAATAAAATGGATTATTAAGCTAAAAATGAATCTTCATATGCTGAGATGGGAGTATATTTATACAGTAAGCTGGACAAGACAACACTACTGCTGTTGTGTGCTAGGTAACTATAGTGTCACAAGTCGGAGAAAATCTGTTTTGTCACCAGGAATATGTTCCTTCATGTCTGCAACACTCATCGTATTTGGGTTGTGATGGATTTTGGACTTAAAATTTAGAGGTTCCTACTCTTTTATTCTAGTATCGATTAACATCAGTTTGAACAGACTTTGAAGGAATGGTAGTGTAGATGATACTGACACTGTGGACCTAAACAATGTCCTCAAATGGTCTGCAAACTTAGCATCCTTGAGCATCAATTCACAATTCTAAATTTATGAAGCCATTTTAATCTTGACAAATTAATCTATGTTAATACTATGTGGTATGCATCCTTCGAGTTGAAGTAGATGAACCACATCTATATTGAGCAGGTATTGCCCCCCACCGTCGAGGATACATAGGCCACATTACCGTTCTTAACAAAATTAATGATAATCTGACAGTGAGGGGCAATGTAGGATGCAAAACATCAGTTGGGGGGCAAGGTCGGTCACTTTAACTTCGAAGGACATTGTGAGATTTCACCATACTTTTAGGGGGCACTAGAACAATTAAGCCTAATTTTATAACATAATCACATTTACCGTATTATCTGGAGGAAAAATATTTACAGAAAACATATGTTACTGTTTCTAATTAACGTTATGTGTTGTTAACTTGCTGTTGCCTGATCTTGAAATGATATATGAAAAAATAGTTGAAGTCGCCGATCTGTTTGCCTGTTAACTTCCGTAATCTTTGATAGTGTTTAAGTGTTGTACATGTTCTATGATTGTTAGCTCAATATGTGCTTGGTTGGTTGCAGTCCACAGGGTCCTTTTTCCATGATAGAAGCATCACACTTGGGAGCCTTATAGGAATCAACAGCATTCTGGAGCTCTCAAGAAGATCACTGAGAGGAAGAAAACCCGATCACCAGGCCTGGTAAGGACAGGAAGACGAACAACAACAATAACAACAACAATACCAAGTTCAGAATGTGTTTTTTCTCTTTATGCTCTAAAGACAGTACAGATGGTGAGAATGTGTGCCATCATCAGCCATCTCTCGGCCACTTTCTTGCGGCAGAGAGACAAGCGGCCAATGAAAGTTACAGAACAAACCCTCCAATTTACGGACCAGATGACGAGCTTGCCCTAGCCGAGCATCATCAGCCTGCTAGAGAATCAAGTAACTCACTCTTTGTTGATGGTCAAGTTGCTCCTCCTCAATCTAGTCCATGGTTTGGTTCAGATCATGTTGACCAAAGAAAATCAATGCTCTTTTCATGCATGTGTTGACAACTCTCTCTTTTGGCCTAGCATTAGGTGAATGTCTCAGTCTGTTATTGGAAGAAATAAAGAGGTCAGTTGACAATTCCATTGCGTCCGAGCTCGATTTATTGAAGAAGGAGAAGAAGGAACCGAGAAGAAAGTATCAGCAACAACCTGGTTTTTATTCTTCGGCGTCCATATCAATCTATTATGTGCCAATGCCTTGAGCATTGGGTATACCTCGTACGATAGCTGTCCTAGATGTACCGTATCTTTTACTTCGTTTCTTCGGAAGCAATCACAAACATTTTTTTAGTATGGAGAAGAAAATGCATGAAATATGTAACTGTCTCACCTTTATGGAGCAAATTAGCTAGTAATTTGGATTGATTAATCTCATTTGATGATAAGTATGTTACAAAAGCAAATGTTCATCATTTCAAATTTTCTACAAAAACTTGCTCAGCTGGGGCCAAACTGTGATGGCATCCTAGGTCCTATGTCCTACCAATTGACTAAAATGGCTAGGAAATATCTAAGTGGAACAAGACAACTTGTGCATACTACTATTCAACCTTTCCTAAATTTACAACCAAATAGGATTTGTCCTAGAACACATGCAGAGAGCATCTTCAGTAGTTTTAATGTCTTTAATATTTAACGGGAGTTGTTATTAGTTGTTTAAAAAATTTATCATGCACTCCGTTTTTATAAAAACGTACAGTTGCACCTTATGATCTTTCCGAGTTCAATCACACAACTCAATCGATCTAATCTATAACTAAATTTGTGGCAACGCAATGACAAGCATACATGAAGAGTCCAAAATGACAAGAAATTTTGAGCCTACCACGTTTACACACATTAAAGTCTAAATATAAGCAAGTGATTCTTTACTATGCTGATGAAAAGATGTTGTGTCATTGAATAACGGCGTGGATTCGAATCCTGTTGGTACTTAATCTAACATCTACCTTACCAACACTATCGCTCAACTCAAAAAAATAATGTAAATATAAAAGTTCAACACAGTTTACACATGATAACGTAATGGCACATATACACAAAATATTGTAATATATAACAAAATAATTAATACGTTATGAACTTAAAATATAATATTAATAAATAAATTCACATGTTATAACAAAATGAATTTCTTCGCACTTACCAACTTCTTTGCAAGGAAGAAGTGGAAGGATGCAGATTGTCTGTCCTTCTATTTGGGTGTCATTGTCATCCCTTCCTATTTTGTGCGGTCACGGTTAAGTCACGTTAACATTTTATATTGATTTTTTTTATAGAGATAATAAGACAAAAAATAATAAGAATATAAAATATTAACATGCTTAACCGTGACCGCACAAATAAAAAGAGATAGAAAGTACATCCAAACAGGAGGACAGACAATCTCCCCTCCGAAGTGGAACCCAAGGAGCAGCAAGCAAGTCAATCAATGTCTCCATCAGATGAGACTTTTACACCGTCCATGCATGCATTATCTTAGTGACCATCATTTACTGACAAAAAATGGAGGAAAAAAACAGCCAAACGGGCCATAGCCATCAGATATTTGGTACAAGTCCAGATTAATCATATCAAGCAAAAGGCTGGGCCAACTGAAATCCAGGGCCCACATAGTTTAAGTGGGCCTGCTTATTTCTTGGCTTTTCACACACGTAGAAGCCGAGCTGCTGTTCTTTGAGTCAACATCTTGTCAGGTACTGTTTCACTGTTGACCCACCCAAATTGTAAACTATCCTTGTTCCGGATGTAGCTGACTTTTCCAATTTCCATTACATTTTGGAGTCATATGATCAATAAAGGCACAAATCACATGAAATCCAATCTCCCAATCGCTTTTTATTTATTAGCATACGCACGCGAATTAGGTCAGTTGGTTAACCGACGTCTTGTTATATTTATTCAAGTTTGTTCCTTCTTTACATGACTTGATCCAGATGCATGCAAACTAAGTTAGTTAAACGACGTCTTGTTATATTTATTCAAGTTTGTTCCTTCTTCACCAAATAATGCGTCCGCTCTTTTATACTTGAGGTTAAATCTCGGTAAATTAAAGTAATTGACAATATGATGTTGTAAAAATAGAAATAACTCTTATTTATTTGTATTTTGTCACTACAAACCCGTTTCTCCAAGAGATTTTTTAATTTGCTGAGAACATGATCCGGTACACAAATGTAATAATTCAATTGATTGAAAATTTGATAAAAACAATTCCAACTAACTGTATTATGACACTTATTGTACTGAGCCGCGTTCCCGCTACACAAAAAAAAAATTCTCCATTTCTACACACAAACTACATATAAATAATTCAATCTTGCCACAAGAAAAATCAAAATAAAATAATATTACATTTCTCACTAGGAAAGAGGAGAGCTTGGTGGGGGTCAAAAGCACACAACGTATCCTTCACTCTTTCCAATGGTTCTTTTTTGTGTCGCTGTCCAGGTAGAGCAGCAGCCATTCAAGAATTTTGAATTTTCAACTAAGAAAAATAATTTCTTCCTTTTTTTTTCCCCCTTTTTTTTGTTTTTCTTCCCAGTTCAGATACCTAACAGACTCTCAAATCACCAACTAATAAGTTCCTTGAACCTCAAGTAAACAAATTTAACCTGACCAACAACACATGTAACCCTAACCCAATTGCCTGCAACTCACTTTGCTTATTTTCCAAAACTACACAACACATGGGACTTTTTATCTGTACACAGCAGCTCCTCGGATTCTTCTCGCTTCACTTACATGAAAGCGACGAATCCTCGAATGACAATACGGAATCTTTTCGATTGCCAAATGCCGAAACACGTCAAGGTTTGTCAACCCATTCATTTTCAGCAATAATGCCTGAGCCACGGCCGCCCATCTTCCCAAAGAACCGAGTGCCGATAAGCCCTTGAAGCTGCTGCTGCCCTCACTGAAGTTTCGGGACCTCCTTGCCTTTCTTAGCTTGGAGGAATTGTTATCTGCGGTGTCATGATCACCATCATCGCAACTTTTGATCTTTGCAACTAGCAGATGGGCAATGGGGCTTCGGCAGAATGGGCAAACTGGTGGCGTTAGGCACAATGTAGTTGGGTTAGGCTTGTTGTGGCAGCAGAGGGCTAGAGTGCATTGTGCACACATTTGGTGACCGCAGTTCTGGACTTCAATTGTACACACCTGCTCAAAGCATATGCAGCATAGATCTAAATCGCTTTCCTGCAATAAAACGTTCAAATGAATACTTTGGTCCCATGCATTAATCAATATGGTAGATGTCTCTACAGTTCACATGACTGCTGAATATATGTCTCCTTCTGACCTACTAAGTCCGAAAACTAGTAAAGATGCAAGTAAGTCGCATGATCAAATGGGGGACCGGAGCCAAGGAAAACACATGAAGCAAAGACCAAACAGTAGAGTTTCTAATGTTAGGATTCAGAAAACTATCATGAGACTCATGGTCCAGCTCACTGGTATGGAAAACAAAGCTCATGACATCTGATTTTGATCAGAAACACAGCTTCCGATTTTAAAGAACAGGATAATTCTTCTGCCGAAAAAGAAAAGAGCAAGTGAATTCAAAAACATTTCGAAACTCTGTCGTAACAACCAAGTTCATTGACTCCCTCTTTCAGAAACAATAAAAATAAAAAAAAATAAAAAAGGGGGAAATTTGGCAATGTGCCAATAACGATTAGAAAATATCCCCCACTCATGTATGACTCTGTGAGAGGGACCCCATATTATGATTAATAACAAATAGATGATGATTTTGTAATGTCTTAGACTATTAAGAAGATTTCGTTGGGCGGTTAGATTTCAATCGAACTCTTTTTGGTTATTGAGTAGTACTGAGAAAGTGGGTGAAACCCATCATAAGCTCCTACTTTTTATAATAACATAGACATATACTTGAATATGAAGAAAGAGAGGAGGGTGGGAAATTACCACAGATATATTGTCATCCATGCCTGTATCAGAATGTGACGGAGATGGAAGTGAGTAAACGGTTCCTTTCAAGATGTTCTTCTCCCTCTCCCGGTTTGCCTCCATTAAGGCCTGTTCTAGCAGAGCTTTTGTTTCATGATTAAGCTCACTAATAAACTTTAAAGGTGCTGGCCACACAAGAGGCTCAGCTGATGAAGGATTTAGCATGGCCGCACAAGCTCCGTGTTTGTGCTTCAAAGCAACCATGTATGGTATTCTCCTGCATATACAAAAGTATAGCATTAAGGGATATGAGCATCAATCAGTTCAGGGGTTCCGATCATGAAAAGAGATTATACCCGGATGAATCTCTTTGAACACGATCTGCACCCCATGCCAACAATCCGCGTATGCAATCCAGAGATCCCCCTCTAGCCGCCAAATGAAGTGGAGTGCTCCCAGGACAGCTGTAAACAGAAACTCATCAATCGACGCAGCAAAACTAACACCATAGATTAAAAAGGATTAAGAACTTCAGCGCAATTCTTACCCATAACCACCCGTTGAAGCAGAAACAAGAGCCCCGTTGTCTAACAGAATACGTACACATTCAGGCCTACTTCGACGTGCTGCCAAATGCAACGGTGTTGCTCCTCTACCATCCCTAATATTTATAAATCGTGCAAATCCCCTGATATCCAATCCAACAAATTTCGATAAGTAAAAAGCCAGATTAATCACAGAGGGGATCAAAACACTATGGACTAAAAGGAAACCAACCAGGAAACAGAAACAGGACTCGAATGAGCAGCAGAAACAATAGCTTGAAGGCAATCGGAATGGCCATAGTAAGCGGCGTAATGCAAGCAGGTTCTTCCATTAAGGGAATCAAACATCAATACCTGATAAATATCCCACATCAAATTGATAGTTAATATTTGGAAATAAAAACCAAATTTCCAAATCTAAAGAAAAAAAAGGTTTGGATTTTCACATACGTTTGCTCCTGCGTCAAGAAGCTTTTGCACGCAGGAGATCTTGCCATGCATTGCAGCCAACATCAATGGAGTCTGAACAATTTCCAACTAGATAATTAGAACAAGCAAGAAACAGAACATAAAAGAATCAAAACTTTCACATTCGCAGCCAAAAGTAATAAAATTTTACCTGCTTGTGACGATTTAACGCATCTGGATTCACAGATCGTTCTAACAGCATAGAAAGAATCTGCCAATCAAAGCAAAAAACGAGAAACAAAATCATTAATCAAAAATTCAAACCGCGTAAAGATTTCCAAAAACAAAACAGTTATTTCCCACCAAGAATCAAAAACCCAGAAAAACCCATTTGCCCAAAATCCAGAAAAACTCGGAACAATCACTGATTTGATGAAATCCCAATGAAGCAAACGAAGAACCCACCTCGATCTGGCCGTTCGCGGCGGCGATATGAAGAGCAGAGTGGCGGTCGTAGACGGTGGAGTGGCGGAGGAGAGTTGGGTCTCTCTCTAACACAGATTCCACGGTGTCCAGCTCCCCAAACTGTACGGCTCGGAACAGCCCATGTTCGTCACTCTCTCTGCAACTCAACCCTTGACCCATCTCTCTCTCTCTCTCTCCCCCCTATCTGTTTCTCTCTTATCAATGGAGTCAATGGGAGCACTTCATTCAGCAATATCTTTGAGCCACCTTCACCTGAAGGCAGAAGGTGGTGGCCTCCATCGCTCTCCGAATGAAAGGTTTCACATTTATGTATTTCCAAGTGTAGAGAGAGAAATAGAAGAGGGAGGAGAGAGAGAGAGCTTTGGAGTTTGGAGCTGCCCGGAACGAGACTGGGTGCTGACGAGTCGGTGTTCGGGCAGTCATTAGGACTGACTACGGGCAGCAGTCAGATATTGCTGGGGAAGTTGGATTAGATTCCGAAACAGTACGATGGGCCAACCAGCCACACCCCAGTTGACTAACTCAATCCCAGCCGTTGGGATTTTGACTCGATTCTTTTGGTCGTTGGATTGGAAATAATTAGGCTGCTAATGTTTAAATTAGGGATGTTAATTTGATATTAATTGTGTTTTACTAGGACAATGGTTTACCGCTGTATTTATTTTTGGGTAAAGTCATTTTTCTTTTTTTGATAAAAAGGGTACCGTCATTTTTCATTTTCGCGTAAAGGAAGGGATACCAGATTTTTAAAATTAAATTTATAAATTAAATAATGTATTTGTAGATTATTAGATTATTAGTTAAGTGTCAATTAATGCGTTTATTTTTTATTGATGACATATTATTTGTTTGTAAATTTGATTTAAAATTTTATTCTTCGTAGCATTATCCTAAGAATATTGACAAAATGGAGTAATGATTTTTTGTATCTCTTTGAATTGGATTAGACTATGCCTAGATTGTATGTCAATTAATGTTCTTGGTACAATAGTTTACAATATTTAACACAAAAATTAACCTTAAACTGTAAAACAGCAGAAAGTTCACAAAAAAACTCACTTTAAAAAAATATTCTTAACATTTTTTACTTCTTAATAAAGTCAAATTAAATATGGAGTTCTGCCCAAAGAATAATTTAAATATGGAGCAATGTTGCATGAAAAAAAATAAAAAAAACAGAGAAAAGTTCATGCGTCATCCTATATAAAATATAATATTGTTGCACGGATCTTACTTGCATTACATTCATGCCATACGTTTGTTCGGGAAATATATTTTGAAAATATTGGAACTCATCTGTGCAACCTTTGATACCAAAAGAAATTATTAGACTATGAGCTAGTTTGTATATATAATATATTCATTTAAAACGTGTTCACTTTTTAATTTGAACAATCTATATTACCCATCTCTCTCATGTATTTTAATTATTTTTTAAAACACTAATTAAAAGTTAAAAACTTAAAATAAAATGGTTAACAAATATGTCCTGAATTTATAAAAATATAAACTCATCATGTTTATAAGAACTCGGGCGCTTAGTAAGGCTTTGTAGTTTGGTATATACAACGACATTTTACATTATGAGATTTGCAATCTAGGCTCCACCACATAATGGGGGGCCACTATAATATTGTAGAACTCACATTTTGTGGAAATGAAACATAATATCACTCAGTTACAAGTTAAGAAAGATATCATTAAATAGCAATACCAGCCGCTTAATACATATAGTTTTAAAATTTAGCTTGTCACTCACAAAGTTGATTTTCCCCACCATATTTAAGATGCTTTTATTTTACTCTATAGAAAATTACCAAGCAGGAAACTGTTTTATCATTATACACATAAAAGAGAAATTTGAAAGCAGGGGTTGGGTTATGATGGTTGTCACGGGAAGGTTGGTGTAGGATGAGACGCATATATATGCATGTGGTAGGTTTTTACTTTCCTTGTTAGTAGGTTGACGGTTAAGTAATATTAGAAAAGGAGAAGAGGATGCGTGTGGTTAGTTTGAGGGGCAATATAAATACATTGATAGGTGGAACAACAATGTCTTATGGGACAAAATTTTCATTTTGTCGGAATACAGCTCGGTATACTAAGTGTTATAATACAAGTATTTCAAAAAATATTTAAATATTCAACTACTTATAATATAACACTTGACGTACCTGACTGTATTTTTATGATCTTACAAATGTGACAATAACACACAATTAATTTTTTCGATGAAAATATTTCATCCTTTACTCTTTTTTGGTGAAATTTCACCATCTAATCTTTCATACAATCATCACAATATGACAAGAGGGTCCATTAGATTAATTTGTGAACAGAAGTATAGAATCAAGTCTTGGGATCAAGTCCTTTTTTTTCTTTTCTTTTTTATCTTTGTGTGGGCAAAATTACAATATGAGAAATGTTAAGAAAATTTAAAAGTGAAACTCTTTATAGACTCTTTGTCATCTTATTTTAAAATATTGTGCAAAAAATATGAGATGACGGAAAGTGCATGAAAAGTCTCACTTTGAGAGAGAGTCTCCTTAGCATTTCTATTACTTGTTAAGAAATACTAAGGAGACTCTTTCAAAGTGGGACTCTCTATGGATTCTCTATGAATTCTCTTTCACCTCATATTTTTAATACAAGGTTTTATAATGTTGGCACAGAAATAGTGTCAAAAACATGAAGTGGCGGAAAGTCCACAAAGAATGGGAAAGAGCCTCCTTAGCATTTCCCTTACTTGTATTCATTCATATTTCTTGATTCTGCTAGATTCGTAAGGAATCTCGATTCCATCCCATGAGATGAACACAAGTATTTTCTATATTTATTTGGTTTATTCTAAACAAGGACAAAAGGGGGTATTCGGGATCAGCCTTTTGTTATAAGATTTATAAAAGAGGTTCTTTTTCCATTTTGTTAAAATGTAAAGGAAGTTTATGCAATGCCAAGCATGCTTGTTCGGTCGTTCCTTCAAAATTCTCGGCATTCAAATCTTGATGGGCTGCAAATCGTTAATCGGATCTAGAAAAAGTAATCTCCTCCCTTAACAAGCATTTGGTACCTGCTTTTGTCGAAGAATCACATGATTTATGATTTCCAAGCCAAAGCAAAGAATTAGGCTCAACCACTCTTTATTATAATGGGGTTCTTCTCCTTCTTTTCATCACTTCTCTTTTAACTCTTAATGTATTTGTATATGGCCAAAAGAACTTTAGTACGAACCTAGCAATGAGTTTGTAACTAAACAAAGTATTAAAATGATCGATTGTATAAAGAGATTGAGTTTGGCCTTATTAGAATAACAAGAAAAACCCTACTAGTATATGTAATTAACAAATAAAACGAAGCTAACTCTCCAAGTTCTAATACTATTCAGAACCACTCAATGCTAACTAGACTTGGTAAACATGTTGTATTTGTCGTGTTCGTGTCATACCTGTTATCTTTATGGATGGTCATGTCAAATTTGTTATTTTAATGGGTTCTTAATAAGTAACCTGATAACGACCTTACTCATTAACAAGTTGACTTAGAAACTATTGTTTTTGTGTCATTTCGTATTGAGTAAGCGAGTCAACAAAAAATTGTCATGCCTAATGTCTAGACCTAACATACCCAAACGTTTTTGTGTCATATCTATGGATTCTTAACAAGTGATTCTATACTGATCTGACTCATTAACAGATTAATCCGAAACCTGTTATTTTTGTATCATACCAAATTACTGGATTATCAAGTCTAATACTAACCACAATCTGAGCGACAAAATGTTGATTAACAGTCAGTAAACATTTTGTTTAACAAAAAAAGTAATTTAAAGTAATGAGGTCTTCTCTCTTTCAAGTAGGAACCAGATTAATTCTTGAACTTGTTTTTTCAATTTTCTCCCAAAAAAACTTGTTTTTTCAAATACTTTGAGTTCGCATGTACACTTCCTCCTTTCACATTTGCCATCATGCAAAAGGCAGACTGGTTGGTTTTTTTAATTTTTATATATACTGGGGAACCATACTTTACTTTTGTTTTACTTTACTAAGTTCTTGTCGGTGCGGGTATATTTTAAGGTTTTACTTTCCCAAGTTCTTGTCGGTGCCTATATTTTGAACTAAGATTATATCTCCTCTTTTTTTTCTTTACTTTCTTCCTCTCTTATTTGAATTGTTATTATAGTTACGTCAACATTTTATAGGGAGAAAGACAAAGTGGAGAGTGTGAGAGAAGGAAAGGGGAGATAGTTACGTCAACATTTTATAGGGAGAAAGACAAAGTGGAGAGTGTGAGAGAAGGAAAGGGGAGGGAAGGAAAAGGAATGAAAATATGAAAAAAAGAATCTTAATCTGTATATTTTATGGACTATGCTATTCACTCACTTTTCTTTAATTTCTGTCATTTAATCTTCTTCAAATCATTCGACACGACAGTCAAAGAAGAATGTCTATTAAAGAGTCGAAAAAGAGTGTTTAAAAAATTATAAAAAAAAGTGTGTAGATAACATCACTTCAATGAAAATTATTCCCTCACGTTAATTCCCCATTTCTTTTACTCTTTCGGATATTTTGAAACTTGTATGCTTATTTGCAATGAAGTAAGGGATATTTGTCAAATTAAAGCCACTTAATTATGTAATCAATAATTGGTCCAAATCGTAGTGGATAAGTTGTTGGGTTTTTCACTTATATGTTTCGAATTTGAAACTCTGATTTCCCTAAATAATTCTAATAGTTCAAAACTCTCCCATTCCCTTAAATAATAATAAATTTAAAAAAAAATTGGTTTTTTTTTTCTTTTTCTATTGTTCTTTCATTTTGTTTGGCTTTTTAGCTAAAATAGTATATGAGATTATCATAACTCCTCATTTTGGTCCCTAAGATTTTAACTTGATAGAAGTGGTCCCTGAAATTGTCCACATTCAATCATTTTGGTCATTCTGTGAAAAATTTCTATTAAATTGAAAAAACAACCAGTTCAACGGGGTTAATTTGACTAAATATTCTTAATTTAATGGAGATTTCTCACAGAAGAACCAAAATGATTGATTGTGGACATTTCAAGGACCACATGTACTGATTTTAAACCTTAGGTGTGGATGCAAATTTCTGCCTTATTCTCTTTTGAAGAAAATGCACCTGCAAAACAATAACACTTAAGATCAAGGCCAAGAACCTCACGCGCTCAAGATGAATGAGGGGCTTTGGCCGAAGAATCTCTTATGCCAAAGTTAGAATTTGAGAGAGAAAATGTTTAGAGAATTTTAGGAAGAGAATGAACTTAGGTTTTTGGAGAAATGTAGGGCTATAGATAGGGGTGTGGCTGGCCCCATTTGAAGAAATAGGAACCGGCCACTTATGGTGGAATTCTAGCTCTAATTGGAAGATATTATGTCAAATAATAGTTTGCAATTAATTTGGTAATTAATCGCAATTTGAAAAGAATAATTGGGAGTTACCTTGTGAGTGAGGATTTGATGAGGAGTGATGAGAGGGTTTTGAATAAATACCATTTGATCACCTTTGACCTCGATTGAGCCACTATTGTCTGATGCATGCATGTGGGAATCCCAGTGTGCCTCAAGGGTAATTTTGCCTTTTTATTCAAAAGTCCACGTGTCGCCCTTATAATTTTCTTGATTATTTTTTTGCTCCACATTAGGGACCAAACTAAGGAGTTATGTTGATCTCAGAGACCATTTTGTATTAAAAAAAATAAATTAAAATAAAAATAAAAAAAACCTTTTCATTTTTAAGTTGATGGCATTTTAGTGGATCAGAATCTTAGGTTAAGATGGACTGTACAAGTTTAGTCTTGCTTGCAGGTGGCAAGATGCTGGTACTTCTATTTTTTTTAAGCTTATAAATTAGATTGTAGTTGATGTCTTCTAGAAGGTTGGGGCATCCTTCTGTTAAGAAAATTCAAAAACAAGAAGAAGACGACGACGACGATGGGGTCTCAATGTGCAGTGGAATCATAAGAGCACTGTTAACCAACAATGCCACATGGTTAGAGGGAGGTTTCGTTCAGTAATGTTCTTTTTTAGCGGGACAAACTCATTGTATATGACAATAAATTTTTGACTTAGTATTAGTAATTCACGTGTTATCATATACATAGATGAATTAATACAAAAATTCATATCACATAGTGATGTTAGAGTCGAACCAAAATCTTTCGTAACTGAAAAAGTTGATCGATTAATGTTAGAAAGATCACACATATTTATATCATATTATTGTACCAGATGTGACAAATAATGTATACAGCCAACAACTAATGAGATAAACTCGTTAATTAAGAATCACGCAAGAACTTATTCTACTTTTTGTATTGTCCATTGCTTCAAAATGGATGCGGCCTTATCTTTGCTACCTTTGAGATTGCTTATTCTCTCCAATAATTACTAAAATAATAATGCATAACCAAAGTAAATTCCCCAATAAACCAATCGAGGAAAGCAATTCCCTCTTGTGGGCCTCTTCCCGTTTTAGTATGCTAAGTGCTTTAACACATTCCTCCATAAAAAGTCTAAGGATCGAATCATGCCCTAGTCAAAGGCTCTCGCGCTCTCGATCATTATTGGATAGAGGCATTTGTCGATTCTCTCAATTCCTACCCCCGCCGCCCCCTGGGGCGCCTACCTAGCACACACGAATTTGTAAAGAGCAATCGATCTTAACTCAAGTAACAAATGTATAAATGTATATTATACATGTAAGCGAGATATAAAACCTAATTAAAAGGTAAGAAAAAACATAATATACCTACAAGCAAGACACATTAATATGTGACACGTTGATTATAAAAAAAAATCTGTCATATAGATACATAAAAATAATTAACCTGTGATATAAGTTAATTATAAAAATTAAAATAAAATCTATAAATGAGGTTTAAACCAGGAGGAAGAACAAGAAATAACAAAAAATAAAAATAAAAAGAAATAATCAAAGAGATAATTAGGAAGAAATTTGATTTTTATAATAAATATTATCATTGAATAGAGAATTATTGATAAGAAAATAATTAAATTTAAGGAATTAGACTTATTTTAATAAATTGGACTATTTCTACTATTGGCTAAAAAAATTGGACTTATATCAAGTTTTCCCTAATTTTTTTAATCAATTACCTCTCTAAATTTTATAATTGACCAATTCTCCCTAAACTTTAATTATAAATAATTACCTCCGAACTTTTACAATTAGTCAATTTTTTCCATGAATTTTAATTTTATAATTGCACAAAGGTACTTTTATCCCTAATATGAGCAACATATTGTCTTTTCTCCTTCTTCTTTTTCGCTCATTCACTTAGTACACTTTATAGTGATTAGGAGGGAAATTAGACTTCAAGGAAAAAATTAGCTAATCATAAAAGTTCAAAAGAAATAATCGGTTAAAATTAAAGTTCAGAAGGAAAATTGTCAGAAAACAATTATGCTTTTGTCCACCATGCAATTCACTCATGTAAACATCATAACTACTAAAGGACAATACTTGCATCATATGACGTTGCACATATTTCATGTGTCTTGCGAATAGTGTACATTAATTGTATAAAATTTAAATAGACATCGTTTAATTTTTTTTATTAACATTTGAACCATTTCTAAAGAAAAATCATTCGAATCAAATTGATAGTGAACAATTTTTATACAATGTCCTCACGGACCCCACCTACATTTGGCAACAGAATGATAAAAAATTGAAAAAAAATGAAGATCCACCATCTATCCCATTATCGGTGATCACAAAGATGGGTCTCTTATATTGATAGGGACTTGCATGGAGGATTAGAAGGTTACATACAATTGCCACATACGCAATGGTACGTGTACCTAGTTGTTATTTGGCAGCCAACTTGTAGTAGTACAATGTATTTAGCTGCAAATCACAATTTTAATTAATTAACAATTAAAGAATAAAGGATTTTTTTAGTAATATTAGACATGTCATTTTTTTCATACCATATTTGTAATAAAAGTAGTACGTATCAACACATGAGTCCCATTTTTATTAGATGCAGGTAGAAATTTAGCAATGTTTTGTGCATGGCCAACCTAATATAGCAAGATGGTGTCCCTCAATATCATAACGTTTTTTTGTTTTTGCTTCTTGGATTTATTAGTGTTAAATTGTTAATTTAGAGCACAAACGTGTTGTGACATCCCACATCGTCCAGGGGAGTGATCCTTAAATGTATATTCTCATTCCTACTTAGTACGAGGCCTTTTGGAAGCTAACTGGCTTCGGGTTCCGTAGGAACTCCGAAGTTAAGCGAGAAGCGCTCGAGAGCAATCCCATGATGGGTGGCCCACTGGGAAGTTGCTCGTGAGTTCCCAAAAACAAAACCGTGAGGGAATGGTAAGCCCAAAGCGGACAATATCGTGCTACGGTGGTGGAGCGGGCCCGGGAAGTGATCTGCCCCGGGTTTGGATGTGACACGTGTTGATGACTAACTAATTAATCATTTATTAATGTAAGTCTTACAATGGATTCTTCTTGAATTAGCAACTAGGAACCGTTCTTGTGCGTGTGAATGACTAACGTTAATAAAGATCTTCGCAACATTAACGTTGTAATTAAAAAATTAAATATCTAAGTCAACATGTTTGTAAATAATAACTAAGGACTCGTTTGGATGTGCTTTTAAAATGAATAAAAGCGCTTTTAGAAAAAATATTTTTGGGTTCCAAAAGCACTTGAAGTGCTTTCTTCAAGAAGCACTACTAGTAAAAAAAACACTTTGCGCGACGTACGTACATTCGTCGCGCAAAGTCAAAAATCGTTGCCTAAGGGTTTGCGTGACGCAACCTTCGTCGCGCGCTAACCGTCGCGCCAAGGCAGTGACGGTAGGGTTTGCGCGACGAAGAAATAACATGCGTCGCGCAAAGTGGCTTTGCGCGACGCACGGACTACGTCGTGCAAAGCCACTTTGCACGACGCGCGTCCTACGTCGTGCAAAGCCACTTTGCGCGACGCGCGTCCTACGTCGTGCAAAGCTAGTTTGCGCGACGCGCGTCCTACATCGTGCAAAGCTCGTTTGCGCGACGCGCATCCTATGTCGTGCAAAGCCTCTTTGCGCGACGTGTGTGCGTCGCACAAAGTGGCATAGTGGCTTTGCTCCGCTTTGCGCGACGTAGGGACATGCGTCGCACAAAGCCACTTTGCGCAACGTAGCTTACTTCTTCGTCGTGCAAACCCTTTTTTTTTTTTGGCAAAAATATTTTTTATTTACTTTTTAATAAATATTGTAATTAAATTCTAAACAATAATTAATAAACCAAGAAAAAGTATTTAATTATAAAATATATGAAAATGTACATACAAGATGTCCGAACAAAAATAGAAAAAACTACAATAACTATCTTCTAGGTTTGATACATCAAGCTACTGGGTATCGGCCGGGCAAAAAGTGGCTAGGAGGTCAAAGATGGAGCAAGATCAAGTGATGGCATCAGGATTTGAAGACTGGACATCGAGATTTTGCTTCATAGTTAGCCTGCATAGGATAAAATTTTTGTTTCCCATCAAAGAAAGAAGTAATTAAGAACTCCTTACCTTCTCTTTCGGAATACCAACAACAAACGCGACGTACTCCGCGTTATTGCTTTTGTCCCCAGATAGCATGTATACATCGATCCCTTGCTTCGATAAAGATTTGACAACTTGTCCAGCATCTACCCTTATCTGATCCTCAAAATAAATGAGACCGGCAAGAGTACTATCAATGCCAACATATACAATAGATTGACTCGTATGGGCTTCTACTTCTTCAAATGGTAACTCCATGCCTGCATATATTTAGTTTTTCAATGGGACCTCAATACATGATCCAAGATTAAATTATTTGTCATATTAAGAAGGAAAAAAAAAAAAAAAAACAAAAGATATCTTATTTGGAAGATGAAAACAACTAAGCCTTTGGTTCCCAAAATTAATTTCCATGGTAAGCTAAATAGTCAATCCATCTTCTGGGGTCATTTAAGAGTTCGGCAAACAATCAAGAGTAAAATTTAGAATTGGTCCATGAATCAAAAATCTGTTTATTGAGATCCCTAAATTTAACAAAACATGTGCCCTTGGTTGCCTTCAATTCCCTAACACCAAATGAGCCCTAAAAGTTTTCTAAGATTCTACATATCTTTAATGAATCTCTAGGATTTTCTTTTAAAGTCGTTTTGCAAAAACCTTTAGAAAATAAGGCTCACTTTTGTAAGCCAAACTCAAATTGGAGAAAGAAATAAGCATCTGTTGAAGTACCCCTATATCTTCTTAGTCTCTCTAAGCTGCTTCTGTTTTCTACAAATTGTGCTACTTATAGAACTTCATTTTAGTGCTCCTGTAAGTCGAATCTGTCAAGCATTACTTCTCCATGTACATTGTTATTTATATCGTAAAGAGTTCATCATGATCATAGACAGCACTCTATGTTGTCCTATATGAATCTAAATTTTCAATAATAGGATTCTAAATTCTCTTAAAAATGGTCCAGGGCTAATGCCTATCAGCATTACACCTTTACAAGAAGCAAATTCACATTCAAATGTGCAATGATACAAACTATTATATTCCATTATACCATGTAATTACCTTTGAACCCATTCCAAAGTCCCAACAGAAACCTTTTTGTTCTCAATAGTTGGTACAGCACTAGAACCAGGTTCTTCCAAGAATGTTCCATCCGCAACCTGGAATAAGGTGCACAGTTTAGGATCTGAGCATCATGATTTTTTCGGAAACTTATCCAGCTAATGCATGCACTTAATGATATAATCCTCTTCTAGAACACCAAGGATTTGTTCACAGAACTGCAGTCTTTCTTTTTGTTTGTAAGAGATGAAGCTCACATAGGGGAGAAATTAAAAGTAGAACTCCAGCACCACTCTATACAAAAATCCAGCCAGTTAAGACGAAGGCACACTAAGGGGACATCCTTAAAGTGCTTAGACCAAAGATTCCCAAACCGATACAATATCTAGTTGTCCCAAATAAAATCCATTAGCTAGAGAAAATATAACCTGTGAATAGAGACAACCACAAGCAACACCTCACTCGGCATAACTTGCATACCAATCCATCCAAAGATTCATTGATCAAGCCATCGATAATTCCCTCTCTTTGAGATTTCAAGTGATGCATATGAATTAAATTGATCAACGCAAACTAAAGATTCAATGAACAATCACATCTGCTATTACCTTAAATCTTTCATCTTTTCAAACTTGCACAATTGAAAGAAATTCCATATTTCTGTGCCCTGTGTGTGTAAGACAGAGAAAGAGAGAGAGAGAGAGAGAGAGAGAGAGTACCGTGAGATGAAGTCGAAGTTGGGAGAGTAGCGAAGGGTTTCTACACATCAGCCAGAGAAATGGCGAAAAAGAGTTGCAGATCCGCGAAAGAGATGGCGAATGTGTGATTTAGGTTTCGATTTTGTAGGAACAATGATTATAATTAAAGGGTAACACGCTACCAAAACCCATAGGTAAGAAACTCACAGATTGAGGTATCAAAAAACAAAACAAAACTGACCCACATGAAAAAAATCAAATCTAATGGTAATTATCTCATTCAACCCACATCAATCTGAGTCCCAAAAAACCCAAATTTCATAACCATAACAGTGAAACCAGCACGAAACGACTGATATCAAATCAAAAAGACAGCAACCATATCCAGAAACAAAAAAATCTAATCAGCAATTACCATCAATCTAATTAGACCGTATACTTACATAAACAAAATCGAGCGGCGGTTGGAGAAACAAATGGGCAATTGGGAGGGAAAGCCTTGTGCGAGCTGAGCTGAGGAGGAGAGTCGGCTGGAGTGGAATGGGATTAGGGTTTGGGTTGGGAAGAGAGAAAGGATGAGGATGGAAAGAAGATGAGGAGGAAGGCTACGGGAAGAGAGAGACCGAGTGAGAGAGGGGGCGAGATGAGCGAGAGACAGTTCGGGTCTCGGAAATATTTGTCCGGGAAAATTTAAAAAAAAAGCGCTTAATTTTTACATTTTCACCGCCAGAATTATCACTGGCGCGACGCAGGTATATCTCGACGTCACGCAAAGTGGTTTTTTTTTTTTTTTTTTTTTAAATATTACAAAATTTATTGAAAATGTGACTCTACTCTTTTCAAATTCAATTTTTTTTAACATAAAACTCATAATAATATATTTTTTTAACAAAAACCCGATCTGAAATACAATAATAATTAAATTTAAAGCTACTTAGTAAATATACATACCATTCAATTTCTTAAGTGTTATACGTACAAAATAAATAAATTTAAATCTACTTAATAAATATATATACCATTGAACTTGACGGGAAACGCATTGTACGAAATTAGTTTCAACGATTAAACCGTCAAACTTGTTTGTATATATTTTAAGATCGCATATACCAAAAATTGCAAAAAACAAACATTCAGAGATCAAGTAACGGGACAAAAAATTTCGACGGTTATAAACGAAAAATCACGATTTAACGGTTATTTTAACTTCGATTTTGATGATTTTTTTACAGCTACACTCCTTGACCCTATATGAATACAACAAACTAATTCGATCGTCAATTGAAAATATTTACACAAGTGGATACCATAAAATCTTATGTTATACTTGATGAAAATATAAATAAACTCTAAGTGTTAGGGAATCTATCGTTTTGATGGGATGCGCATTGTACGAAACTAATTTCAATGATCCAACCGTCAAACTTATTTGTATATACTTCGAGATTGCATACGCCAAGAATCGCAAAAAACAAACATTCAGAGATCAAGTAACGGGACAAAACTTTTCGACGGTTATAAACGAAACATCACGATTTAACGGTAGTTTTAACTCCGATTTTGATGATTTTTTTACAGATACACTCTTTAACCTTATATGAATATAACAAACTGATTCGATCGTCAATTTAAAATATTTACACAAGCGGATACCACAAAATTGTATGTTATACTTGATGAAAGTATTAATAAATTCTAAGTGTTAGTGAATCTATCGTTTTGATGAGAAACACATTGTACGAAACTAGTTTGAACGATCCAACCGCCAAACTTGTTTGTATATGCTTTGAGATTGCATACATCAAAAATTGCAAAAAACAAACTTTCAAAGATTATGTAACGGGACAAACCTTTTCGACGGCTATAAACGAAAAATCACGATTTAACGGTTATTTTAACTCCGATTTTGATGATTTTTTACAGCTATACTCTTTAACCTTATATGAATACAATGAACTAATTCGATCATCAATTTAAAACATTTACACAAGTGGATATCACAAAATCTTATGTTATACTTAATGAAAGTAGAAATAAACTCGAAGTGTTAGTGAATCCATTGTTTTGATGGGATACGCATTATACGAAACTAGTTTCAACGATCCAACCGTCAAACTTGTTTGTATATGCTTCGAGATCGCATACGCCAAAAATCGCAAAAAACAAACATTCAAATATCAAGTAATGAGACAAACCTTTTGAACGGCTATAAACGAAAAATCATGATTTAACGGTTATTTTAACTCCGATTTTGATGATATTTTACAGCTACACTTTTTAAACCTATATGAATACAATGAACTAATTCGATCGTCAATTTAAAACATTTACACAAGTGGATACCACAAAAGAAAAAGGCAATGCAAGAACCCCAAAAGAAAAGCAAAAGAAAAAAAAAAAAAAAACTTTGCACGACGTAGGTGTTGCGTCGCGCAAAACAGCTTTGCACGACGCAACACCTACGTCACGCAAAGTTTTTAATTTTTGCCCTTTTGCTTATGAGCACAAAATAAATACATTAAAATCTACTAAGTAAATATATATACCATTGAAGTTGATGGGAAACACATTGTATGAAATTAGTTTCAACGATCCAACCATCAAACTTGTTTGTATATACTTCAAGATCGCATACGCCAAAAATTGCAAAAAGTAAACATTCAGAGATCAAGTAACGAGACAAAACTTTTCGACGGTTATAAACAAAAAATCACGATTTAATGGTTATTTTAACTCCGATTTTGATGATTTTTTACAATTACACTTCTTGACCCTCTATGAATACAATGAATAGATTCGATCGTCAATTTAAAATATTTACACAAGTGGATACCACAAAATCTTATGTTATACTTGATGAAAGTATAAATAAACTCTAAGTGTTAGGGAATCCATCGTTTTGATGGGATACGCATTGTACGAAACTAATTTCAATGATCCAACCGTCAAACTTATTCGTATATACTTCGAGATTGCATACACCAAAAATCGCAAAAAACAAACATTCAGAGATCAAGTAACGGGACAAAAATTTTCGACGGTTATAAACGAAACATCACGATTTAACGGTAGTTTTAACTCCGATTTTGATGATTTTTTACAGATGCACTCTTTAACCTTACATGAATACAACGAACTGATTCGATCGTCAATTTAAAATATTTACACAAGTGGATACCACAAAATCGTATGTTATACTTGATGAAAGTATTAATAAATTCTAAGTGTTAGTGAATCTATTGTTTTGATGGGAAACGCATTGTACGAAACTAATTTGAACGATCCAACCGTCAAACGTGTTTGTATATGCTTTGAGATCGCATATGCCAAAAATCGCAAAAAAAAAACATTAAGAGATTATGTAACGGGACAAGCCTTTTCGACGGCTATAAACGAAAAATCACGATTTAACGGTTATTTTAACTCCGATTTTGATGATTTTTTACAGCTATATTCTTTAACCTTATATGAATACAATGAACTAATTTGATCGTCAATTTAAAACATTTACACAAGTGGATACCACAAAATAAAAAGGCAACGCAAGAACCCCAAAAGATAAGGAAAAGGACAAAAAAAAAAAAAAACTTCGCACGACGTAGGTATTGCGTCGCGCAAAACAGCTTTGCGCGACACAGTTGCACATACGTCGTGCAAAGCTGTTTTGCGCGACGCAAGACTTCGTCGTGCAAAGTTCCGTTGCGCAAAGGTAGTTTGCGCGACGTTTTGTGTTTTGCGTCGCGCAAACATACTTTGCGCGACGAAATTTGATCCGTCGCGCAAACATGTTTTTCTACTAGTATTATGTGCTTATTCCTGGAAGCACTTTAAGTGCTTTTCCAATATTTACTTGAATTTTTACTTAAGATTGGTTCTTAAAATATTTTCACTAAAAGCATTTTCAGTCATTTTAAAAATACATTCAAACGAGCTCTAAGTTGTCAATCCTTAAAATTCCAAGATGGTTTCTTCGCACAATAGTCTTCCCTCACGGGTAAAGACAATGCACCTGCAAGAGAATTTTAATCGTATTAAAATCTAATTTCTCTATTCATTTTGGTATTTATTTGACGGAGAAGCATTGAAATTGTCAGCCACACATAATGGAAAGGTAACGTTCTCTTATTAGACTTGGATTGAAGCAACATTCAACATAATAGGTGATTCAAAATCTAATAATATAAGAATACTATGCTTAGTCCAGTAAATTATGAACATTTCCACTATTTCGCCAGCAGGACTTGCACATACGTTTGGTGCTTAGAATTGCATTAGATTGGGCAACTCACATGATCCAAGGTATGTTGTAAAGAAATGAAAGCCTAACTTCCAAATTTTGTCCAGGTTGAAGGAATTAAATAAATTAGTTATTAGTTGTGATCTGCATCATTTATGTAGATTAGCGAGGTACAAGTTTAAAACAAAAAGTAAATTCTTTAATTTTTTTTTTTTGAGTTTATCGATATTTTTCCACTGGAAGAGTAGGAATTCAGTTAAGCCACACAATGTGCAGCCTAATTTGGTATTGAATTCGCAATCTACGAGATTCAAACCTTAGACCTCTTACTTCTAAGCGAAGAGGAATATTACCAAATCGTAGTACTAAGTGGCTGATTTGTTTGTTAGAAATGGAAGAATTAAGAGTAGAGATATGCAGAGATATGCAAGTTCATAAGCTGTTGTAGGTGTTAATTGCAAGTTAACACCCAAGTATAATGATATTTTGGAATTAGATTCCATCATAAGCATCCATGTTAAAGGAATGAGACTAATTATGGATCTCTGTGTCTGAAGACCATTTAATAGAGAGAAAAAGAGATATGAGTCATTCAAGTTTTTGTATTTTTGTTAAATGGGTCAATGACATGGGTTAATAGAACCGCAAGATTAAATTGAGTAGTTCAGATCTCTCAGTTTGTGAGCTTCGGAAACAGAGATACAAAGTAAATCTCAACGTCTCTCAAATAAAGATTCATTGGTCTAGAATATACAAACCATTAAAATTTTCTTGGTATCCAATTAAGTTACTAAATACAAGTCCTGAGAAAAACCAAGTTGTTATGTTAGAATATTCTATCAAAATCAAAGCCAATTCAGAATGGACCTTCTCACATTACCAGTCAACAAGTGAACAGGGACTGCTTAGGTAATCAAACAAGTGCAGATTTTTAAGGAAGAGGATCCAGGATCTCTCCCATCAAAGGTTCAGGAACAAGTGATCCGAATCGTTGAAATTTAATCCAACGGCTACAAACAGGGTGCTTCCTAAAAATTATAATAATTGTAACTGTTGAATCAAATTTCAACGGTCCTGATCACTTGATCCTAAACCTTTAATAGGAGAGATCCGGACCGGATCCTCTTCCGATTTTTAAACAGTTCTTGTTACTGAAGAAATTGAGGGTGGACTTTGAGCAAAACCCTAAACGGTCCTTTTCAATTTATTTTACTCATGAAAACGAGGGAAAATAAAGGTGTAGCAATCGCCAAGTGGCAAAATTATGGGAGATATTTGGTTGAATAAGATGTTTCTCCATGCTCTAATTTAAATATTTTAGTTGAGTATTTTTTGTTAAACAAACGATATTAAAAAGACGGAAGAATCAAACTTTGAACTTAAGTTTTTGTAATCAATTGAGTTACGAGTGTCTTACTAAATGCATTTAGTCTACGTTCTTTGCACGTATTTAGAATTTACCGTAAGGTTCCATGAAAAAAGAGGGAGTGAATGGTTTTCCTTAAAAAAAATGATGAGATTAGGCGGTGTTTTGGAAACGCACAAAAAAGTAAAAGCCACATGAAAAAGTTAGGAGTAAAATGTATGGTGTTTGTCCCTTTTTTTTGGGTCAAGTATGGCGTTTGTCTAATCAGAGAATAAATTGGTGGGCCATTTAAAATCAAAACTTTCGACCCAAAAGTGAATGTTAACAACCACGGGAGCTACAATCTCGGTTTTACAGCTTCTGATATTAAAAAGTTGTTGTCTGAGTTTCTTAGGTGTATTGAAAAAGATCAACGGACATAAATTAATAATCTTCCATAGGAGCTACAATCTCCCACACCTTTTTAGTTTTCGGCCGTCAAATGGGATGAATTGAAGAAGATCAACGAACATAAATTAACAAGGAGTGTGTGAAAAGTAAAAATAGATGTGTGGATAGTACATCCCTTCTTCGTAATTGTAATGGTGTGGCTCATAGCATTGCCAAGTCGAGTTTATCTAATGGTGATTCTGTTGTTTGGTTTGAGGAACCCCCGGATATTATTAAGGAGGTGAACCAAGATATGTACCCTAGTTGATTTCGTTCAATAAAGCTATCTTATCTTCTTTCAAAATAACCACTGGAGCTACAAAATTTGTACAATAATTGATACACAATAACGTGGAGTTCAAAGCCCTTCAAGCTATATTTAACTTTCTCTAGAATGATATATTTACATTGAATAAACGAGAGATTGAGTTAAGCCACACAATGAGTCAATCATAATAACTATATTGATCTCGTCATTAATGAGAGATGAGCCTAAGACATCCTACTTATGAGTGAATCATTTCTTCAATTTATGCATGTCATATGCAAGGCTTAACCCACCCCCATCTCCCTTAGTATAAATAATATCGTTTGTTAAAAAAAAAAAAAAATGTAAACTCTACGTCTTGTTTGTCCATTTAAATTCAATGGTTGTTTTTTTCTTTTGAATATATACGATATTATCTACATTAAAGAGTGAGGGTTTGGGTTAAACCTCACATTGTGTTAACCATAATGAATTAGTTCATATTCGCCTTTGATGAAATCAAACATTAGACCTCTCACTTACTGTTGAGGAGGAATACCATTAAGCCATCTCGAACTGAATGAGGGCCAGATGGCTCGTTTTAGCCCTATAGCCCTCCAAGAGAATAATATTTTAATCAACAGTGTTAGACCATATTTCTTACCATCTCCAACCGATGGGCCAAAGGGCCATAGGTCAAATATAGCCATGTAACAAAAAACTATCTCCAACCGAGGGAGCAAAAGGACCATAGGCCAAACATAATTTATTATTTTAATTGAATTAATATGGTTACTTAAATTAAACTACCTCAATAATTTTTTGAGATGTAATCTTAATAATTTTTTTGATAGGATTTCGAGTGACACATGTAAAAATATATGATGATCCAAATAGGTCAAGGAGGGCTCGTGCAAAAATATATGATGAGCCTAATTTGCATTTATATCTAAGAACTGGTAATATCTCGTTAAACGAGTACATGAGGTGCAATATGATGATACATTCACATGCCACAAACAAGTACGTACAACAACATCTTGTTACACATCTTTGAGCCAAAAGAAGCATGAAGATGACATTTAAGTTTTATGTTGTTAAATGTTTTTTTCAATGTTGTTTAAGTTTAATGTTATTTAATGTTGTTTAATATTGTTTAATGTTGTTTAATGTTGTTTAATGTTACTTAATGTTATTTAATATTGTTTAATGGCTTAGGTAGTTATAGGAAAAAAAAAAATTAGAATTAATTTTTTTTTAATTGTGTAAAAAAAAAAAAAAAAAAATTCTAATTCTAATCCAACGGCTAGCTGACATCATTTCGACCCTATAGCTCTCTAGCCGGATTGGTTGGAAATGGCCTTAGACCGCAGTTGTTCACAAAAGAAAAATTGGTAGATATGCTCACAAGTAGCAGTCTTCCGAAACCTATCAGTGCCGCGTGCCCAGGATTACCTACATCCACTGCACTTGTATTTGCCCTCTTCTATGTTTTAATCAAAATTTATTTGCATTTTGCAACAATCTAAATCAAAATTCAGGATCAGACTTCAGTTATTTGATAGTTACAATCAGAGGACACTGTGAGAAGAAGAGAAGGGAAGGTCCTTGAAAGGGTACTGAATGTCGACCGCGGCGAGAAGGGCCGAAGATGTTGCTTGGTAAGGATTATGTCACAGCTTCTTCATCCTTTCCCTTTACATCTCCACCTTTACAGAACAAAGGAGAGAGCTGGAACCAATTCCGTTTCGCTATATGCCTATATGTTTACTCTCATTGACCAGAATCATAATTCGGAGTTCAACAATATGAAGACACTTGCAAATCACAGAAGTGCATACACAGGCTGTAAATTTACATGAGCCAAGACATGTTATAATCGGCCTACTCAACGTTCTGTCAGTTTTTGAAATGGACTTTGAGACACTAACTTCAAAACCAAGAACTATTTCCGTTAAATCAATACCTCCTACTTCTGTTGCTCCAAATACTGGAATATGCAAGAAGCGATAAGAGCGACTGCTTTTAAAAAAATGGGTGGAACGCAGAGAAGTGTGCAAGGCTTCTGGAGTAATAGACGTTGAAACCGTCAGGCTCTTAACGCTAGAAACTCCTTGACATTCTGTCGAATGCCTTTGTCATAAGGATTTCTGAACTTTATACTCGTGAAGTTTTTCCCTGGACAGGGCAAAATATAGGTGTTACATTCTGCATGCGGGTGGTGGAAATTATGAAGATCGGAATTTGAGCTGCGACGTGCACTTACCTGGCTGAGGTTGAACAAGAAGTTGGAACTCTGGATGCTTCTTCCAGTTTATCTGCAAATAACAAGCCAAAATGAAAATGTTCTATTTCAAATTGGACTACGGTAAGACTCATGAATAAGAGCAGAATATGTGTTATATTTCAAGTCTCTTGAATTGATCAGAAAGGTCACTTGTTATAATAAGATTAGGACATATAATCCTTCGCCTTTCAAACACACACACACACACACACACAAATAACACACATGCGCGAATGCATCAACCCATCATTTGTTTCTCATATATTATATGCTCATCAATCATTGAGGAACTTACCCACTCATCAGTTCTGATGTTGAAGCATACACAATATATATGCCATATCACAAACACCACCTACTCATACACAATTTGATGTTTATTAGATTCCATATGAAACGACCTAATACAGGATGAATCATTCAGAAAGTAGCATAACTCATAGAAAAGCATTAGTGATACAAACCTGCCATACCAACTGGAGAATGATGAACAGAATTGTGCTAACAGTTAAATTTTCAGAAAGAGTAGGCTGCAAAATTGATTAAAAGAATCTAGGTAAGCTGCAGAGGCATGGATAACTTATGCTATAAGTAATTTACAACCTAAATGCCACAAAAAGCCACACTGTTTGACTAATTATTTTTCAAAGTTTGCGGGTGCAATGTCCTACCTCCAAGCTAGGTCTATGTAAGATTCCGGATTTGGCAACAACTGAAGAAAAAAAATACAGGAATTTAGAAGTAAAAGCAAAGCAACAATAATTTTCAAAAGACATTGAACAGGAAAACAAAGGGTCTGTTACTTGGATAAGAATCAATCACAACAAGAGTGTTAGCTTACAGAGTGATGTGCATACTAAATAAGAAGCCTCAGTAATGATCAATCCAAACAGAAGAACTAGAAAAAGGGGATGATTCTTTTGTCCTGTACAACAAAGGCATCTGTATCATTAACTACTGACAAGTACAATACAATCAAAATCAGCTGCAGCGACCCTTGCAAGCCAACTTAAAAGGAAATCTATACGATCTAATTTTCTTTATTAGCTAGCTTGAACGTTAAATATAACTTGCGTGGAAACTACTAGTAAGAAAAAAATTGTCTTTACCTATACAGTTCCCAAAAGCTGGGCAATGGTGGTCAAGACCCCTTATGTATGCCTTGCAGATCCTGCAATATCGTACCCTCGTAACCAAACCAGAACCCTGAGAAAGACAGAGCACAATCAGCATCCAGATTACAATAAGCATGATACCAGAGCCAAATTATTCTTTAATGGAAAATGTTCTCTTAGTATACAGTCAAGCGTATTAAATTGTCAATTGTCAATCTGTAACGCACATTCAAATAAAAATCAACTTATCCAAGTTTGAAGTTTGACAACACCACATGTTAACTCTTTCTAGTAAAAACCAAAAAGCAAAAACCACTGATCATTCTAGTACTGAAAATCCGAAGAGAATGAAAGCTAATACTTCAGTTGAGTCGTCAGATAAACCACTTGCTAAAACCTCCAACTCCTGCACAAATAAAAGTTCATTAATGAACTGCATTACACTATGAAACAACTTATTAGCTAAGGCACCCATTAATTTCGACATATATAGTACTATAAAAAGAGGGAAAAAAATCCCCTCAAATTTTTTGCATCAAAAGAGATGGAACCCAAGTTCAAAATCTCCAACCTTCTCATGATTATGAACTTCAGAAACTGAACCCTCCGCAACTTGGTCTGAAGAGGCAAACCCATTTGTTACAAAGCCAGGGTCACTCGTAATTATACTGCAATAACAACACACTTGTCACTGAAAGTTGTCAAATTTCGAAAATTCTAGAGTACACTAATGTATTGCATATATTGCGGAATTTAGCGGATGGATGTGCGCTCAAGAATTTAGGCGTATCTAATGGGTTTACCCGAGCCACTTAGAATGCAATATATTACACCGATGCAATTACTATTTACTCAGTCAAGTTTAGATGATTTTGAAGAGCAAATAAGCAACGCGGAGCTGGAAAAAGTACCAACCTGTAGAGACCAATGAGGAGGAAGACAACCTCACAGCTGAAAACGGCGTCGTTGAGCAGTGACACAGCTGCAGCGGGCACAACACACAGATTAACTGTTCAAATTTGCTCAGCACACCCAAATCATTTGAATTAGTTCAATTGATGAAGTTAACTAATTGAGCTCACCTTGACTGATAACTGAGATGTAAAACCCCCAAATGAAGAGAATGTTGAAGAATACGAAAGCCGGAGCTGAAGCGCGGCGTTTCAGAAGGGTCCTTCTGCACCATCCGCCAAAACCCAGAAAGAAGAGAAGCAGCAGGGCCGAGAGGGCGAGTTGAGCGAGGAAGGAAGAGGCGGAGAAGAAGCGGGGGACGAGAGAGAGGACCAGGTGAGTGAGGAAGACGAAGATACAGGAGACTATGCAGGGACCAATTGACTTGGACCGACCCGAGCGCTTTCTTTCATCTGGTGTTTCCTCCATGGTCACTTTGTGATTCGTCGCTCATGAGGTTAGGTTAGTCAGTTGGTTAAATAAGTTATCCGAGTTTCGCTTGAGTAGGAAATGGGAAAAATCTTCGTACTCAAATCTCGAAAGGAGTTGGATTATCTCTCCATCTATTCATTCTTTTTCTTTCTATTTCCACAAATAAATATAAGATGTTAAGATAATTTAATCGTGACAGTTCAAATAGAATGAGAAGTAAAGAGAGAAAAAAAAGGAAATAATCGTACTCCATCTTGAAATAGTTAAATTAAAAGTTAAGTTTTACCAAATAACATTGTTATCTAGATATGCAAAAGAAAGATTGTGGTCTTCATGATGGTGATACTATACTTTTAATGTGACCCGCGACTAAACAAGTAGTTACACCACAAGTGGTTTATCTCGTTAACAATGACACTCCAACTCTAAACTTTCCTTCTTTTGTTAAACAATTGTGCTTGAGGGGGGTTGAGGCTCACATAAGGGGTTAAAGCAGTGTTTTAAAAAACACGCTCTGAGTTACGCCGAGGCGGCTTTGGAGGTGGACAAGGGATGAAATTACCTCTGCCCATTGGGAATAGGTGAAAACTCACCTAGACATGGTTGAGCAGCGCCTTTAGGCGTCCTAAGGCGACCAATATCCTTTGCTTGAAATTGCTGGGGACCTCTCGAAGTCGAAGGTTAGCCTCTGAGGCTCTGCCATGTGGTTTTTTTTTTTTTTTTTTTTTCTTTTCTTCTGCTGCAGTGGCGGCGACATATTCACAAAGAAGACAACTGCAAAGAAGAAAGATTTTTTTAAACGACTTAACCCAAAACGAAACTGTTTTGGCCAAATCTTTTAATTTTTTTAATGACTTGGTCCAAACAACATCGTTTTGCCTAAGTCTAATAATTTTTTTTAGCCCCAACATATCCCCTTCTTCCTCATCCCAATACCTGATTCTCCCATATTGCCATTCGCAGTTCACCCAATCCCCATCCCCAATTCCTCAAACCCTAAATTCTCAATCTCAATCCAACATTTCAGTTTTACCCCAATCTCATGCTTCATTTAGTTTCAAAATTCTTCACACCACCATAATTTGTTTCAAACTTCAAGTTTTTTAGTATTGTAATCTCAATTTAGTCTTGATTGCCTGTTTGATTGTTGATTAATTTGTTTTGCATAGGCCTTCACCGTTTAAAACATTGGGTTAAAGCAAAACACGCATGCTTATTAAAAAGGATGGAGATCAATTTTGGAACAACATTGTTTCTAGTTAAAACATCCAAATAAAGGTCATTGGGTCAAGTCACTCCTTCTTCATTCAAGTTCCATTGTGCCGCAGACTCCGTAGCCACAATTTGCCCCTAAACCCAACCCAATTCATGCTAAATGTGTGGGCTAAAAGCTAAAAGCTAAAAGCCAAATAAAAGCCAAATTCTCCCCAGGATTTAGCCCAGAAAATAGTGTGGGCACCACTAGTGGGACCCCATCCATATGGGAATGTCTCCCAGGATTTATTGAATCCAATGGCTGAGATCGAATATAATCAAATTTAACAGTAAAACAAAGATTTAACAGCTCAAATTTAAATCCAACGGCTAAAATGGTTAAAAAAAATATTTAACTCAAAATTCACCCAAATTTAGTGATTTTTTTACTTTAAAAGAAAAAATTAACCTAAATTTATTCTTTAATAATCTCAGGCTAAAAAATTTGGGCCAGAAGGGTTGGAGCTGAAAAACTATTTCTGGGCTAAAAATTTTAGATTTTAGCCCAAGAGTTGGAGATGGTCTTAGCATGCCATAACATGTATCTAGCAATATGCAAATTTAAAGTCATTATTTTTTACTTTCTCCACCGACGTGGGATAGCTATCACGCCCTTTCACGCGGAATCTCATTTAGTGGATGTAGAAATCCACACATCGACAATTAAAACTCAGAGGTCTATGTTAAGAGTCATGCTTATTTTCAAGTCCACACTTCCTGGTGACAAGTCTTTGGCTTGCACGAGCCCGTATCATGTTGGAACTCTAGATTGACGAGCTTAGGGGCCTATTCTAACAACATCGATAGAGTCCCCATCTTGCTAATTAATACCTGCCCAATATATCAGGTGTGAAATTTTATCACAAACGGTATTGGTATTAATTAGAGTGGAGTAATCATATTTAAAGTCATTATTTTTTACTTCCCCACTGACGTGGGTTAGCTAACAAAATGTTCGTCACCATTTTTTATACTATTAAACCAATGATGCAGCTAGTTAGAGTTCCTGTCCATTATATTCCGAACTCTTTGCATAAAAATAAAAAAAAAAATTTGCCCCTCTCGCTTCTCTCTTCTTCTCCCTTCTCTATGCTTCTCCCGACGCTACTCTAGTCTTTAATGGCGAAGTACTCCTGCAAGACATGACTTACGAAATATTGAATTGTGGAGGAACATGTTAACATATGAAGGATTGAACATTTGCAGAAGAAACAGTGAAGGAAGATAAAGAACATGAGAAATGAAATGAAGGATTGTAGAGAGAGAATTGCTCCTTATTCATGTTAAGCTCAACTCAATGAGCATAACAACATTGTATACGAGAGTTGCCACAGAATTCTACTCACAGAAAAACTGACTGACTTATCTCAAGAAGGAGTTGGTACGGGCCGTACTGGGCCAAAATTGAAGGAACGGGACCAGATTAATTTGTAAATGAAATGGGGCGGGCCAAGGTAGATTGTCTTATTTTTAAAAATGAAACCGTTAAATTGACACTTTTCAAATGGGTCGGTTCTATGGGTTCACGGGTCCTTTTCTTTATTACAGGAGTGAGAGCTTTCCTTGACAGCTTTGCACCTGAATTTTTTATTTTTTTATTTTTATTTTTGAACAAACGATATTATCTATACGGGAAGGAGATGGGTTAAGCCTCATAATGGGTTAACAATAATGTGGTTCAAATTTGCCTTTGGCAAAAATCGAACCTAAGATCTCTCACTTACAAGCGAAGAGGAATCCACTAGAATGTAGTACTAAGTGACACCTGAAATATTGAAGCCGAGTCGAAACTTTATCTGCATAAATCCTTATTGCCCAAAATTGGAAATTTACATACAATCTTCTCCCAAGAGATAAAAATGCCCAAATGCCCTTAAACCAATGAGATAAAGCCTGAATGACAAACTGTTAAAAGATTAACCCAAAAGAAACGGCGGAACCCACTTCTGCCATTCTTACCCCAAAATTCATCTATTCTCATGATCATGCTTTGGTCGCTCAAGAAAATTGAAATATCCTGATCCTTGGTCTCGTTCTTCTTGTTGTGCTTCAAGTTTTTTCCCAATCTCCTCCTCTTTATCAAGAATCATCAGGAGCGATGGTGGCCTTGGACGCCATAAAAACTACAACAAAGAACAAACAAATGTCTACAATAAACGGTCTAGACTGAGGATCCGTTTCTCAAATTTTTTAACTCATCCCATCCCGCCCTGTTTTGTGTTTAGAATATTTGAACTTGTCCTGTACCAGCCCCAAATCGCGTGGGGCTGCCCCATTTGCCCATTCATAATCTCAAGCTAACCAACATAACAACTCACCAATCAATCTAGCAACTCACTCCTTATTTTGATGAAAAATGTCAGTCTTACAACCAATGATATTATGAATCTCATACAACAAATAGGCTATAAGTCCAGTCAATTTTTTTTGGATTCTTAATATCTGTTCCTCTATATCTATAGCTATTTATTCTTAAATTCTTGAATTTTGGGCATTTAGTTACCTCCAATAACTCAAAACTATCAAAAGTTTGTTCTTTATCTCTGATTCAATCATCATTCTAACAAAATATGTTTCTAGCAATTTATATTTTACAAACCCATGAAGTTCATTATCATGCAAATACGATTCCAAAAAAACGCATACGTTGCATGATATATCAATCAAATTTTCATTTGAGGATAGTTGTTTCATGAGAACCGTGCTTTAGAAGTTGACCATACACTTACGTTCATGGCGGACGCATATTCTGGCTAGAGGCGGTTTGGGGTGGAGCGAAGCGTTCAACCGCACATGGCTTCAAAATTTAAGGACTCCCGTAAACTTTGGTTATCCTTTTTTTTTTTTTTTTTGTCAAATGATAGATTTTGTTAGATTAATCACCGACGGAGTTTGAATCCATATTGTCATACAAAAGTTCAACACTTTTCTATTACTGTGGTAAAGGTCACTTGCGTAAACTTTGGTTATCTAACATATACTGACTTTATGTTTGAATGTGAGACCTACAATTACATCATTTCAACTTTTCCCTTTTTTTCCGGAAAAGAACAAAAAAACACACTTTCACTTTTCTGATTTTTCTACTTTAGTGGCCCTTACAACTACAGTTTAATTGATGATTTTGCAGGTAAAAAAATGCACGAAGAACCATTTTAAGTGAAAATTTTGATACTTTCATGGGTCAATTCAAAACTTGCCCAAAATGTAGACCTTTTTTTTTGGTCAAATATTGCAGGCAATGGTTTCGTAAGTTTTGATAGTCATTCTATGTTCGAAATGAATGGAACGTACAAAATCGCAACAATGGTTTACTAATTAATTAACCATTATTGAACATATAAGCTTTCTCCCTTCTATTAACCATTAAAATGGATGTGGCCATTAAAATGGATGTAGCCAACTTCTAAAGCATGGTTATCATGAAGCCATTATTCCTAAAAGTAAATTTGACATTAAATGATGCAACGAGTGTTTTTTTTTTTTTTGTATCATATTTGCTTGATAGTGAATTTTGTGTGCTTGTAGAAAATAAATGGGTAGAAACATATTTGTCGAATGATGATTGAATCAGAAATAAAGAACAAGTCTATAATAATTTTGAGATATTGGAGAAAACTATTAGAAGAGATGTCGGAAATTTTGCCATCTAGAAAACATTTTTCAAGCCAAGTAATGCTCTCGAACATTGTCTTGTAAATTACAATATTTTTCTTGAGATTATTCTACTACAAAAAATCGTGAGTAATATGTTTTTTTTTCCCTTTTTTTGTAGGGGACATATTCTTACTACTCCTTCCTATAGGAGGTGAAGA